TATTACAGATGGAACTATACAGTTGAAGAGGATCTAGGGAAATACATAGGATGAATTTTCAAAAGATGGGTCAATGGGGGAAATGTGTTTAGTACACCCCCTAATTTTCCCATGTGCATATCCTTCCACTGCTCCTTTGTAAGTGAACACTATGACTCACTACAGTGGGTAGCATCATCAAAATCCCTGACTAGCTCACTTCTCATGGATATAGATATGGCAGCTGCATCCATATGGATATGTGTGTATGATGTATGCAAAGTGCACACTAATGCACATGCTACCTAAGTATCCTTACAATATACTTTCCCTTTATAAACCCATCTCATTTATCATATTGACATGTATTTTGCTAGTAATCATTACATGGACAACAATGATGTTCTGTTTTCAAAAGTTCCATTGTAGAAGTCAGTTTTTTAAAAAAAAAAAATATACAAAGCATGTATCACAAGCCCTCCGAAACCCTATTTTGCTGCCTGATCATGGTGGGAGTTGGAGTGTTCCTGGGAGGGTGAGCAAAGTATGCCAGGAGTGTGTGCCAAGAGTGTATAATCCCAGCAAGGTCACCCAAGGCATGAAGGTCATCCTTAGCTGTCTAGCTAAAGCAAGCAAGCAAACAGCTGTATTGGGCAACAGCAATATAGAAAGATGATGGAGGCAGATGATCACTTTAGTGACAATTGCAAAGGCATGATTTCATACTGTATGAGAGAAGGCAGTGATAAACCACTCCTGTATTTTACCAAGAAAACCCCATGAATAGGCAAGATAAAGTTATTGACAAGATAGTGCCAGTTGATGGGCCTCTCAGATCAGATAACACTCAGCATGTTGAGAATCTTTCAAAATACTAAGTGTGTATATGACATGACTAAATCAAAGCCTTCAGAATATCTAGTTGCTGATGTTGCCATGCAGGAAAAGAAAATCTGAAGCTACAAAGAAATAAGAAACATGTACATAAGGAGTTTAAAGATGGGAAAGCTCAACACAGAGAAAGAGGAAGTGAATCAATTACACATTGATATCTTAGGCAGCAGCAAATTGAAATGGGCTGGAATTGGACATTTTTAGTCAGAAGATCATATTGCTTACTACTCAGGACATGAAAAATGGAGAAGGAACTTGCTTTCATATTCAGGAAGGATATGTAAAGGACGGTACTTGAATACAATGCAGTCAATGACCAAATAATATCAATTAGATTTTGCACATAACCCTTTAATATGATGATTATCCAAGTTTATGCTCCAACGATTGATGCAGAAGAAGATTAGGCCACTGAGTTTTATGGTCAAGTTCAATCTGAAATCAATAGAACATGCAAGCAAGATGTGCTGCTTGTGGTTGGAGATTGGAATGCCAACACTGGAAATATTAAGGGGGAAAATGTTGTTGGACTACATAGCTTAGGAAGCCGAAATGAAGCAGGAGAACAACTTATCAATATCTGCCAATCCAATTATTTCGTAATTGCTAACATGGTCTTCAGACAACCAAAACACTAATACATATGGACATCATTCCAAGATGAAGTAAAAGAAGGAAATCAGCCAGTTTCCATGATATGATCTTGGACACATGCCCACCATTTTCAAGGAGACCTTCAGGAATCACTTTAAAGTCTTGAACTTCATTGATAGAGAACAAGAGGAACTTTGGAATGAAATGAAAAAGTTGTTAAGGATATTGTGAAAAAAGACTGCCAAAGATGAACAAACAGAAGAAAACAAAGTGAATATTAGAACAAACAGTTGAAATTACCGAAAAGAGAAGCCAAAGCCAAGGAAGACAAAGATCTCAGGAAATAACAAATAATTTCAGAGCTGTTAGAAAAGACGAGAAGCAGGATTATAGTAACATCTGTAAAGAAATTGAAGATTGAAATAAACAAGGAAAAACAAGGAAAGTCTTGTAAAAGATGTCCAAACTCAGAACTGATAACTGATTTAAAGATCAAACAAAGATACTGAAATACTGTACAGTAAAGATGTCGACAAACAAGGTACCTTAGAAGATATTCCCTATTTACAAGACCACTAATATTAGAAAATGAAATTAGATCAGCAGTCTAATCATTTACCAAGATGGAAGGCTAAAGGAATTGATGGAATATCTACAGAAATATGGTAAGCAACAAAAGAAGAATCCATAAAGGTTCTAACCAAACTATGCCAGCAAATCTGGAGAATAACACAATTGCCAACAGATAGTGGTAAACTAATCTGATAGTGGTAAACTAATCTTACTAATACCAAAAAAGGAAGGCTTAAGAACATGTACGGACTATTGCACAATATCCTTAACTTCACATGCTAGCAAAATATTGCTTAGGATCATCCAATGCAGATTAGAGCCCTACATGGAATGGGAGATGCCAGCTTTCAAGCCGCTTTAGAAAAGGCCAAGGAACAAAAGATATTATCACTGATGATGGATAATTGAAAAAGCCAAAGAATAAGAAAAAGGAGTCAATATGTGCTTCATTTATTATAAAAAGTCCTTCAATTTGTCAGTTGTCTCAACCTGTGGCATCTCTTTAGCAAAATGGGAATCCCAGAACATTTAATTTCTCTCATGAAAAACCTATACACGGGCCAGGAAGCTACAGTCTAGACAGAACATGGTGAAACAGGCTGGCTTTGGGTTGGCAAAGGAGTGAGACAAGATTGTGTACTCCCCTTATTTATTCAGCCTATATATTGAATATATATTGAGAGAGGCTAGATTGAGGGAGACTGGATTGAAAGGCAATGGGTGTGGTTTTAAAATTGGAGGAAGAAACACCAGTAACCTGTGTTAGGCTGCTGACACAACGATAGTTGAAAAATGCAAATGATCTGGAAGCTCTGATAAAAGTCAGTGAAAACAGTGAAAAAAATGGGACAAAAATTAAAAATAAAGAAGACTAGACAAGTGGGTACAGCAACCTGCCTTAAAATTTATGGTAAAGATATTGAAGTGGTAGATAGCTTCTGCTTTTAGAATCAGCTGTTAACAGTGAAGGAAGCTGCAATGAAGAAATATGCTGCAGGCTAGCACTTGGGAGAATAGCAGCAGAGGCCTTAGAAAAGATATTCAGATGCCATGATGTGAAACAAAGATCAGAATAATGCAGGCAATGGTTTTACTTGTGATACTTTATGGAAGCAGAAGTTATAGTTTGAAGAACCAGGACAGAAAGAATATTGATGCTTTTGAACTTTGGTATTGGTGAAAACTGAGAATACCATACACAACCAAGAAAAATAAAATGGAAACATTCTTACTCATTGCTCAGATGGTCAAACTCAGATTATCAACTTTTGGACATGTTGTGCAAAGATCTAGCCAGCTGGAAAAGGCTGTAATGCTGGGAAAAGTGGAAGGAAAGAGAAAAAGAGGATGGCTGGCAGCAAGGTGGATGGACTCGGTGACAGTGGCGATGGGAGCATCATTGTAAAATCTGAAGGACCAGGTTGGGAACAGTTTGTCATGGAAAAATCTATGTGGTCACTAAGAGCCAACGTTAATTTGGTGGCACAATCAATCAAACAATGTATCACAGGAGAATAAAGAAAGCACTTCTCTTTGTGCCTCATAATTTCGTAGAGGTTGATACCTGCAGTCTGAAATGTAGATTTTCCCCATCCAGACACTGCAAGAGGAAGGTCATGGTATCGCTTAACTCACCATGGGCTGAGATGTACAGCTGAGTATCATTGGCATAATGATGATACCTTGCCCCATGGCAACAGATGATCTCACCCAGTGGCTTCATGTAGATGTTAAATAGAAGCAGAGAAAATACTGAACCCTGAGGGACCCCACAAAGCAGGGGCCAAGGGCCGGACCTCTTGCTCCCTATCAACACCAACCGGGAATAGTCACAGAGGAAGGAAGAGAACCAGGAGAACACAGTGCCCCCCACTCCCAAACCCCAGAGCCACTCCAGAAGGATACCATGGTTGATGGTATCGAAGGCCGCCAAAAGGTCAAGTAGAACAAGGATGAATGCACTACTCCCATCTTGCTCCCACCAGAGATGTGGCCAGTGCTGTTTCTGTTCCATATCCAGGCCTGAACCCCGAGTGAAAAGGGTCCAGATAAATGTAACAATGAGGACATTTTTTAATGTAGTCCAGGGATAGGCAACTTAAAGAATCAGAATCAAATGTGACCCCTGACTCCTTTTATGAAGCATCAAGAACATCCTCCCATAATTAAAATAGGTTTGTAATGTTTGAAAAGCAAAGGGGAAAAAAATCACTTGGATAACCAGGAATAAAACAGGATCCTGGAGCCAGCCATGTATTTGGCATAACCTGGCCATTTATGCTTCATCATCCTAGTGATTACAGCTGTTGTCTCCTTAAAAATGTCAAATGATGTCCTCAGTTATTAAAAAGATGATCATCCCTGGCATAGACTGACCCATGTTTTCAAGAGGACAGTATTTCAGTTTGAAGGTGGTACTGAGCAATATCCAGTGTAATATCAGAGTGATTCACAAAATGAGTCTTCTGTTTCCCCCATATACACTGCAAATTCTGCTAGTTAGAAAGAACAGTATGTAGAGAAGGTGTGGGCATAGAAGAGGAAAATAATATATTCCGGGGACTGATGCTATTCTATCTGTGAATGAACATCCTTCGACGTAATCCTTGAGGGCAAGTGGAATGTACAATCTGAATAAATGTTTGAAAATAAGTAGTGGGGCTAATGAACTGATGAGCTGATTGAGAAGCTTGAAAACAAAAGCTTTCAGAATTATATATGTTTGAAAACTGTTGTCAACCCCCTAAGATGAGAGGATTGCAAGTTGGAAGGTCTTGTCTTGCAGTGTCCTAAAATTAATGAAAGTCTTGAACTTAGCATATTTCATTTAGAGACATCTACTTGCAATTGTGTTTTTCAGTAATTGCATTCTGCCTCAAACATAATAGAAAATAAGTTTGTCTTATAACTTCTATAATTTATTTCTGTTTTTCCTTTTCTTTTTTACAATTTTATTCCAGGAACTAGCCAAGAGGACACCCACTAAACACCCAGATTATCAAGCAGTATTGAATGCATTACAGGCAATGAAAACAGTGTGTACCAATATCAATGAGACCAAAAGGCAGATGGAGAAGCTGGAAGCCCTTGAGCAATTGCAGTCTCACATTGAAGGATGGGAGGTATGATGGAAAGTGGGGTAATAGGTTTCATTCTAAGTCTTCGGTCATCAGTAGAGTTACTTGTAAGTAAATCTATAGGAACAGGTTTAACATCGTTAGGTATTCATAAGTTACCTTAGTTATTTTTGTGTCTGTGTCTTAGTTTCTTGTACATGCTAGGTTAGTTTATGAGTCAATGTATTGTATGAAAAAGAAATATAACGGACCAAGTTAAGCATGTTCTATGAGCCCTGTGTCTTACAGGTCTATATACACAGGACTGTATATAGACTTCTGCAAATTGTACACTTCTCTTCAAAATCATTCCATTTATACCCAGACTTTTGCTCTGTTTTTTGAAGCAATAATGTATGTAAAATGTATGAGCAAAAAGGCTGGAAAGTATTTGGGATTTTAACAGATAATTTATTTATTTATACATGTATAAGTGTACTATTTTCAAAAGCAGGGGATTCTATTCAAGTTATTTAACATACAAAATAAATCTTATTATAATAAAAAAATGTTCAAAAGACACTTGTAAATGTTAAACAAAACAAGACAAAAAACCCTTCTAAATTGTTTTGACTCTATTCATATTGTCATCTTTAAGCAGCCAAGTCAATTTTCTTCTGGCTTAGTTAGGTGGCAAAACTTCAGTTTCATAATTTTTGAAGGTAGGGCATAGGGAGCATTATAGCTGATTTCATAGACAACCTTACCCTTGAGTGCAATCTTAATCTATCTAGTCCAGTGTTTCTCAACCTTGGCGACTTGAAGATGTGTGAACTTCAACTCCCAGAATTCCCCAGCCAGCCATTCTGGCTGAGGAATTCTGGGAGTTGAAGTCCACACATCTTAGAGTTGCCAAGGTTGAGAAAACTGATCTAGTCAGTTGAACAGTTCTGTAAAAAAGAACAACATATACCACACTTTTGCCTTATCTTGCCTCATAGCCTTTGGGCTCGAGCGCTCTCCTCTCTTTCTCGGCCACGCACACAGAGACAGTGCAGTGCAATGTGGTTGAGAACATTACTAGTACTGCAGTTTCATGCCATTATTACGGCTTTCGGTGGAAATGTATATACAGGGTTACATCTTAATAACTAGGCAGCTTTTACTTCATACCAGTAGTTCAGATTTTTTAGAAAATGATGAAGAAAATGCACCCAGAAAATCATTCCCATCTGCTTTCTGCAGTGAGTGGGTGTGAATGGATTTTTGTTCCTTCAAGAGTTGGGCTCAGGCAACTGACTAAATGATGATTGTCCGCTTGACAGAGCACAAGAATGGCTCATGGTGTCCCCTGCCTGTTCTCGGTATTCTGAGATTGGCAGGACTGAAGACGATTGTATGATGCATTCCAAAATGTTTTTCATGTCAAGTTAAAGTATTTCTGAAATTAATATCCTCAGTAGTTTGCTACTTTATTTATGGCTTTATAAGCCAAGAAATTATATCAAATTTCACAGAATAAATAGAACTTAAAGGTAATCAGTAATGCCATTTGAAATACAATTGTTAATAAGAACCTGACAGATTTACTTCATGTTGTAGGCTCTTGATGGTGAGTTAGAAAACATAAAAACCAAGTTGGAAACCAAAAACATGAAACTAAAATGGGGAAAAACTCACATGAAATAATATGACATATAGTTTTGATAAAAAGTCCTGCAACCGTAGTTTCATATTTGACTGATTGATTGGTTGATTAAGTGATTGATTACTTGATTATCAAGTTAATGTCAGCTCTTATTGACCGCACAGGTAGATTTTCTCCATGGAAATCTATCCCTAAGCTGGTCCTTTAGATCTTCCAGTAGTGCACCCATTGCCATTGTAACTGAGTCCGTCCACCTTGCTGCTGGCCATTCTCTTCTTTTCCTTCCTTTCCGTTTCCCAGCATGATAGACTTTTCAAGGAGCAGGGTCTTCATATAATGTGTCCAAAATATGAACATTTGTGCCGCAAGAAAGAACTGTGCATCCAGTCAAATTCAATATATAATACTGCTGTTGTCAAGTAGCTGAGGAAAGATCTACAGTCAGGTCCAGAAATATTGGGACATCGACACAATTCTAACATCTTTGGCTCTATACACCGCCGCAATGGATTTGGAATG